TTCATATGGATATTTATTTTGCTCTAACTCAAGTCACATGTATTATGGTTAAGGCTTAAAAATTTCCAGTGGACACACATGCAAGACACTTTAATATCCTCCCCCTCCCAGGACACACAGATTTCTCATTTTGACACTTATTAGACAAACTTTGGTGGACTGAAAGGCATCTATATACAGCTTGTGAAAATATAGGATGGTTGAAGTGAGTTATATCAATAAAAGGAGAAAGGAGAACTGAATAGGTTCTTCTCAGAGATTCCTCTCTTGGCATTTTATCTCCTACTGCTAATTATTTAATTGTACTCAAAACCTAAAGATACTTGAACATTGACATATCCAAAAATACGAAGTTGTTTATTCTTTTGGAATTGTGAAATAAAATGGTTACTCAAAATGGAGCCATTTTAAGCATTTGGCTCTAATGAGGGTTATTACAGCTGCTTCTGAGAATCCCTAGCTTCTTTTCAAAGCTTAGCACCAACAGCAGTTCTTCCATTAGGCCATTTTGGATTCCTCTTCTCTCCAGCTGCTAGTGCCCTTCTGTACCATGAAATTAGCTTATATTTATTTTGTATGTAATTTGTATGTACTTATAAGTATATAAATATGTAGATCTAGCCCCCTCATACCTTTCTAGTCTACTTAAACCTTATTCTGGGACATCTAATCTTTAATCTAGTACAATTCAAGCCCCATTGGGAAAACAAATAGTTACTTTGCTAAGTGGTTAATTAGCTATTTTACGTTTCAGCATAGCTGAGCACCATTACATCAAACGTCAAGCATAATCTCCTCTTTTCCTTTCTGATGATTACTCTTTTCCTTGTCTTCAGTCCATTTCTGTGGTTATTGCATTTGTCATAGCTCCAGTAACCATGATTGCTTCTTTTGAATACTATCTGGCCTTCCAGGACCTTTTGATATACTCTAGGCTGATCCTAGAGGAAAGGAAAAACAAAAAGAAAGGCAAGACATTCAGAGGGCCCTAGTATAACCCTGGCCAGTTAAGCTCAAGTTTCATATAGTGTGGAGGAGAGACACACACCTCTCCTCACCATCTCTCCTGACCCACTATTTTATCAGTGGGTTTATCAGATCGCACCTGACCCTCTATTATATCAAGATAGAGAAAGCTCTTTCTTCTTCCATCCACAACTGAAGTCACATCTTCCCTTCTTGATAACTGTCTCTTAAGAGACCCTCAGTTAGAAGCTGCTTTTTTTTTTCTCCCCTGGTGTAGCACCCTTTGTCATCAGGTTTTCTGGGTCAGAAATTATTGGGGAGGAGGTGGGATATCTAGGTGGCCTAGGGGACGCAGTATTGGACTTAGAGTTATGAAAACATGAGTTCAAGTTATCCCTCAGACATCAGCTGTGTGATCCTGGGCAAATCACTTAGCTACTCTCAGCTTCAAATGCTTCATCTATAACATGTGAGTAATAATAACACTTAACTAATGGGGATGGTATGAAGATCAACTTAGATAAGATGTATAAAGTGCTTTGCAAAGCTTAAAGTTCTATATAAATGTCAGTTATAATCCTAGTCATCATCATCTTTATCAGTTGATGATTCAGAAGTTCAAGTTTCTTTGCAATTTCTGGGGAGCAGGCAGTGAATATTTGCACATGCTCCAAAGAATGTTGGGGAAGACCTTGACTGGAATACTCTCAAGGAGTGAGGGGCATTACAGTAAGAATATGCTCTTTTCTTGGATATGGCTTTTCAAGTGGAAATTTGTTTATTGAGAAATGTATGCCCTGCTGAGAAGTTTTTTTTCCTCTACTCTTAACTTTGTGTTTTCATGGTCTCTGAGTGGATCTATTTTTTCCAATTGTGTCATGTTCCCTTTCTGTTCTTTTTGTGTTGTATTCCATGTATGCTCATTTAGTAACCTTTCTATATGAGGATGAATGAATATGACAGTGGCATACGCATGTAATTTGTGTGAGTCCCCTTCCATTCTTTCCTTCCTTTCTCCCCCATTAAGTTCCAATAGCCTGTCAAAGTGTCTAAATTCTACCCTGAGGTTTATATTCTATTTTTTGTGCTAAATCATTTTTGTCTCCAAACTTAATTTGCAAATACCCTTGGAAGGGTAACACCTTAAACAATTTATCATCCATTTAACACCTCAGGGAAGATTAATTTATCAGCTCTTGGTGAACTTGAAAAAAGATGCTATTGTTATCAAGGCAAACTTAGTCTATATCAAAATGTTGCCAATGTCCAATACTTCTGTGTTCCATTGGGTTTTAGAATATAATTTCTGTCCTGAGAAACTGAAGCAAATTTGGATGTTGTTTGATTAGAGCTATTTATTTCTTATTTTAACATTCTGGAGGACTAATAATTTCCTTATGATACAATCTTGTTGTGCATTGATAATCATTGGACATTAAGGAATAATAAGAAGGTTTTATTCACTTTGGGCAGATCTTGTATGAAGGATTTATGAGAAAACAGATATAAGAATCACACATTGAAATGGGAAGGGGTAGAGATCTTGGAATCTATATTGTCTTGCATCTTCTGTTACAAACAATCTTATACAAAACACAATAATATACATATAATAGTAATAATACTCATATTTTGACATTTCTTCTATAGGAATAACACTGTATAGCCACCCATACGGAGGAACCTTACTGAATGAAGACAAAATGTAAGTTGAAATGACATTGTATAGTGAGTTAATAAATAGATGGAATTTAGGAGTAGTTTGTTGACTTCCTTTAAGTCTTTTCTTTGAGAATAAACAACAAATTTCTCTGGCTTTTTCCTTACTTTCAAATACTTTATTTTTGAAATTAAGAAATATATGCTCTTTAAAAATAAATTCAAATCATATACCTTCCTCCTAACTTATACTGTGGGGATTACTTTGGATGAGATATACAGATTTCTTTTTCTCTATCTGGTAAAAACAAAAACATACAAACAAAAGACAAACTAAAAATTAAATGAGACAGTTTTTATAGTTACTGTTTTGTTCTTCAATATGTTTTAATGTTGACTTTCATATTTGTAGTATTACTAATAAAAACAAAATGAATAGGGAAGATAATGGACAATGAATGAATGAACGACTAATGAGAAAGTGTTTATTAAGCTTTTACTATGTGTCAGATACAAATGCAAAAGAGAAATGATTCTTGCCCTCAAGAAATTACATTCTTATATGAAGAGACAACATATAAACAAGGGTAATATCTAGGGGCTTGCTTTAGCTCATGAATTCAAAGAAATGATGAATAGAATCATAAAGCATTTTATTGACGCGTCCTTTCAAGAAGCATTAGTACCATTCATTTGCTTACTGTTCCTGGAGCAAGAGAGTCGAATTTGAATGGGATTTAAGGAGACTAGCTGCCAATTAAAGTAAAACTCTCCCCTCTCAGGACAGTATGGACCCAGAGAGAAGCTAGAGGTTCAGTTAGAAGGGTATAATGATGTCTCTCACATGGTGACATGGCAGGAAGATGATGTGGAAGCATTGTCAAGTAGGTAGCACTGGCGAGATATAGCAAATTCTCACTAATCAGGACAGGGTGGGAGGTTATACATGTTCATTTATTCATTTTTTCATTTATCAAACATTTATTAAGTTCCTACTATGTGTGAACCCTGTACTGGGGGCAGAGGGAGACAAAATCTAAGTTAAGACATGGTCCCTGATCTCATGGAACTTACATTTCAGGAGAGGGAAAAGGTATTAATGTAGTAACATAACATGTATATGCACAGGGATGACATGGAGATGCTAAAGAGATGCTTTTCTTTTGTTTAATTAGACAAAACAATTATGAAATGTCATACCTATGTGGAATTCCTAACAAAGAACACCAAATTCTTATGGCCCATGCAATCTTTGGTCTGGCTTGTTCACCCCATTATTCCCTCACACTGGAAGATCTGGGATCCCAAAGGAGGACTGCTGCTAGAATGCCATAAATAAAACCTCTTTTTGTCCTAGAAATAATGTGTTGTGGAGGAAAACACTCTGATTACTTACCACGTTAGCTCTTAGTAAGCACCACTAATGTGATTTTCAGTTACACAAACCCTGTCCATTCACAATGATGACAGTTCGCTGTTAAATATAACCATGCACTTAATAAGTTGAAAACAAGAATAATTTTAATATCAGGATACTCATTTGAAGCAAATAGAGGAATAACAAACACAATCCACACATGATCCTGAGTCACACGCTTCCATCAATACATTAATTATTTGTGGGAAAGAATGGGCACACACAGAAACCTGACAGGAAATCACATAATTGGGAAAACTAAAAACCTCAGGGTAATTTACAAGTCTGGAATAGCCAACCTCTATGTCCTCTTTCTACATGAAGAAAGGTTCATAAAAATTCTTTGACAAGTTAAGATTATTTGTTGAAAAGATACTTCTATTGCAAAGCATAGTTTATCCATATTGTGCCTGATTAACCCCCATGGGACATGACATCTCAGCTAAATGAGTCAATCTGCTTGGTGAATATTCTGATCCCAACCTAATTCTTCTGCTCAGCTGGACTTCCTCAACAACAACAGTAGTTATCCATCACTCCAGCTTAAAGGATACTGACAACTTTAGGAATATTATTTTATTTTGAAAATGTGATTACTGCTATCCCAAAGTTGGCGAAAAACTTTCTCTTTCTTTTCAGCATTCTCTTCATTTCTCTACCTCTAAGCAATAATACATGAAAATATAAAGAAGAAAATCAGTTGCTGAGTTGTTTACCTTTTCTCAGCAGTTGACATATGCCCCAGATGAGGGAACTGTCAATGTTCATTCCCTTATACAAGAAAAATATGCTTTGTCTTTAAATTTTGAGGTTCATGTTAGAGTTATATGTCTAAGTAACACATACAATCTTCATTTGTTCTGATAATTCTTCTCCTTAAACTTTTATTCCCCTTCTAATAACTAATTTTATATTCATAGTTGATGCTGGTTTCAATAATGATTACCCTAGAATATTTCTATAGTAAGGTCAGTGGAGTATATGTTATAGGAACGGCTAGATCTTAATGAACTTTTCCCTTGTTTTACCAGTGGATGATTATTGAAAATACTTTTGAGCCCAAACATATGAATATTATATAGAATTTCATTATGTACTAGTAGTGTTCTATAGTAATACTTGAATATAGGTGAAAATCCCAGGAACTCAAGAGTTGGAAGGAGATTTATAAGGCATCTGGAATTATATACACAAGATTAAGCATAATCATTGTCACTATTCCATTTGTCACTAGCTTTAATTCTAAGTAAAAAAGAAATAGGGATACCTTTTTAAGCCTACTCTTCTTTCATTTTGATGATGCTCCCACTTTAACTTTAGAAGCACTGAAGAATGAATGAGTGAAAAGACATGCATTCAGAAGTCTGTACTTCATCAAATGCAGCCCTGACTGTTTTTACTTTGCTTGTAGACTGGAGAGTGTCCGCCAGTGTGGAGTTGCACTCTGCATCATGCTGGGTTTCTCAATCCTCACAGCATCGATTGGCAGTTCCATAGTAAAAGACCGAGTGTGTGGAGCGAAGAGGTTGCAGCACATCAGTGGACTTGGCTATAGGACCTATTGGTTTACTAATTTCATTTATGATATGGTATGTTACTGAAATAGGATTTGTGGATATGGGCTAGCTGGCTAAGTGGGTTGGGAGATCCGATTACCTCAGAGCAATTTAGAAAATAAGGTGCAATTTCATGGACAGTGTTTATAGTTTTATTTCAGTATGTGACAGATAAATAGGTAGGTTTCCAAAGGACTCATAGGATTTAGAGCTGGAACGGGCCATAGAGATCATTTAGTCCAACCCCTTCATTTGATAGAGGAGGAAACTGATGACTGTCCTTTTTTATCACCAGGAATTTGGAGACGGGCTTCACACAACTCAGATTTTCAGCTAAAATTAACCCCACTTTAGAAGGCTCTTAAGGCTGACTGTACATGCAACCACAGGCATCATCAGCCTTCTCCAATTTTGCTGATGGCTCTCTAAGCCATATATGAAGAGACAACTTGAGTTTTCATCTGTCACTTAGAAACTATGTGACTCTGGTTGTTATTTTACCTTTCTAAAACTCAATTTCTTTGTCTATAAACTGGGGATAACAATACTTGTCCTTCACAGATTTTTTTAGGGAAATTAATTAATAGAATTTAAAGCATTATATTAGTGTCAGTTTGTTTTTTTTTAAATTGTTGTTATAATGGAAGGAAGCTTGTTTCCTAAACAATAAATTGGCATCTAGATCTGGAAGGATGCATTTTCCCCCCACTTACCGGTTGAACTCTAAATTTCAAGCAAACTGCAGACTGTGTATTTTTTACTTCCTATTCTTCTAGGGGTGTGTTGGTGCTGGCCTATACAGGCCCAGCAAAACTGATTTTTAAATTTTCAGTGCAAATAGCTATACCTCAGAAATCAGCAAATGCTGCCAATTAGGGCTTGATTTATTATTTTGCTGTTTGTCTTGAATTAAGAAAATGATGGAGAAAATGCTATTAAGGCACATTAAGCTTAAAGGCATGTTACAGACACATTTTTTTTTTTAACTGAGAAAGCCAGTTGTTAAACATTTACCCCAACCAGAAGAACCTTTGCTAGCATCTGGGTTGTCTTGAGAACTGAATGAGGCTTGCTTCTTAAGCACATCTAGGCTTACTTTCAAATTGCCTCATTGCTTCCTGGCCTTTCACTCTCCTTTCAGAAGAAAGATTTCTGTGCTATGCCCAGGAGTTTCTAAGATTTGTAGCACAATCATTTCTTTTGGGGAAAACATCAATCAATAACCATGGCCAGATAAACAACACTGTCATTTCAAAATAGATAACAATAAATAAAGTGTGGCTTTTCCCACTGGAGGAAAGAACACCTGGGAGTAGAGTGAGCCAAGTCCTGTGTTCAAAGCCCTGATCTGCTCCTTATTACCTCCGTGATCTCGACCAACTCACTCACCATCCCTAGACTCCACATTCTCCTCCATAAAATGAAGGAAGGGATTGTACTGGATCATGTATAAGTGTTCTTTTAGCTCTGAAGTGTATTTTAGAACCAGCAAAATCATGTTCTGATATACTGCAGCTTGCAAAGTAACCATCGAATGAATACTTAAAGTGAGGTCAGATAAAAAATTCTATTGCCTTTTAAAGCTTGTATAAAATTATTAGAACTGTCTTTTCTTCTTAATGTATAACTTCTCCAATTTGACCTCTGGTCTCATTGCAACTAAGTAAATATGTACAGAATTTCAGCTCCCATTTACTGATTCAGTTAGTACAGAAAAACTTTTAGATGAATTCTTTTGACATTTGAAAGGATAATCAACAGGGAATTGATGGATGTATGTGCTGGGTTTTTTTCCCTTCATTTCTAAGGGATTGAACACACATAAAAAAATCTTGAGTGCTATGAAGAGTCTTCCTCATTAATATGCATTCTTGATTTTCAATATTAGCACTGTCCTGTGAATGAGAAAAAGGTGTTCAGTCATCTTTCAAATAGTATTGACCCATATGCATAGTAAAGCTTGATAACATAACCTTAGTCATGTGATATTGACCAAAATTTAAAAATATCTATCAAACCATTTCAAATTTTTTAAAATAATACACATTCCTTAGGAAATGTATAATTATTTAAATTAATTGATGATTTAAATAAGTTCTTTGGTTCATAATGCGTTCCTAAAAAATGTAGGCCCTTAAATATTATACTCAAGGCCTCCTAAATGCTTTTGCTCAGGTCAGATACAAAATTATAGATATTCAGCTGGGAGGATAACCTTCATGCATAAAATGTCTTGAAAGGAAAATATTATGAATGCAAGATGAAGGGGCCCCTCCAAGATAAGTAGATAATGATAAAGAACTCATCTGATCTGCTGTTTGCTGTTTTTTTCTTTAAGCTATTTTACCTGGTTTCAGTCAGCCTGAGTATTGGAGTTATTGTTGCTTTCAAGCTAACAGCCTTCACTTTCCGAGAGAACTTGGCAGCCACTGCCCTCCTGCTGGCCCTTTTCGGGTATGTGATTGGAAATGCCACTGTGGAATTATGGTGTGTTCCTTGCAAAAGAAAAACCCTAGGATTTCTTCGAAACTGCTGTTGGGTGCGTGGTTTTCTCTCTCTTCCAGCAATTATGCTTATGTGAGAGATATTGAGAAAACAAGCTCCAGCATGATGATGAATGCTCTGTGGGAAGAGGGAGAGAATTGATACACTCATAATGAGAACTGCACTGTCCTGATCTCAGAAAGGCCCTCCAGCTGTTTGATAATGTTATACTATATGAAATAGATTCTGTCTTATCGTCACTTTGAGACTAATCTAGGTGTTTAAACTAGGAAAATTGTTAGTCCTGAAATTGCAATGGAGGTGTTTCCATCATGAACTTCTATGCCTTGCAAATATCCTATTTTGCTTCCTGTGATATTAGTGACCAGTTGGGGTTTGTCTGAATGCTCGCTTTTTTATACTTAAAAAAGTATAAACAGGATATACTCACCTTATGATGCCCCAATTACTTTCTAGAAACTAATGGAAAATTAATAGTTCTCAGTAAATTGAACATTTTATAGTTCTAATCTCTTCATCAAATAAAATATGTTGGGGTATAGTAACTAAATCACATATATACATATATACACATATATGTATGTGTATATACAGAGAAATGTATATATACTCATATGTACATGTATACATACATACACAGTACATGTACATATAAATTATGTTATAGGTAGCTAGAATATGGTCTTTAATTTATACACACATACATATGTATATATGTATACGTATGCATATGTATATATGTGTGTATATACATATATACACATATACATACACATGCATATACATATACACATGCATACATACATACACATGCACATGCACATACATATACATATACATATATATGTGTGTGTATATATATATATATACATATACATATGTATATATATATGTATATATATATGTATATATATACATATACATATGTATATAATATATATGTATATATATATATTTATATATATACATATGTATATATATATATATATTCTTCCCTCCCCAGGGTATAAGATCTTAAACAAGTAAATTATTATCTAAAATTTTTTTTCATTTTAGCAAATGAAAAGCTGTATAAAATCTTAAGTATCAGAAAGGACTTTACAGGCTCTAGTCTAATCTCACTCCTAATGAAGTTCAGTGTAGTAGAAGGAATATGATATCTAGAGGGAGAGGAGGTAGGTTTGAATAGTGGTTCTGCTTCTTACTATCTATGTGGCATTGTACAGTCATTTAACATTTTTAAGCTCTAATTTCCACATCTGTATGATGACAGGGTTGGACTAAAGAGGCCTATTAGCTAATACAGATTATAGTATTAGAAAGGACAGGTGGTACTCAGATCAAGAAAACTCTGGTTTTTAAATTATTTACAGTAATAATAGTATTTATATAACTCTTACTATGTGCCCAGCACTGTGCTAAATACTTTACATTTCTCATGTTACAGTTGAGGAAACTGAAGTAAATAGAATAAGTGACTTGTCCAGAGTTACATAGCTAGGAAGAGTCTGGGGGCAGATTTGAACTCAGAACTTTTTGACTCTAGGGTAGAATTCTATGCATTGTGGCACCTAGCTACAACTTCCTGTCATTAGCTGTCTTAGAGAGAGAGGTAATAAAAGTGTTATTATATTATATATTATTATATATACACATAAGCAATTTGAGAATTACACATGTTGTATCTTGTTGGAACTGGAATTGTCATTCAGATGTCTTGTCTGTATTTAGTGTCCATTGGGGTCTCTCAAAGTCAGATTCTATTTGTGTTCATTTCTGGACTGATACTGTATTTAAGGTGAGCAGAGCAAGAATGAGACAAATCAGATGATCATAAATAATTGGTAAGCACTCTGAATAGCATATAATAAACTGTCAAAAGATTTTTGGGAAATCTAGGTAATTTCAAAAACGTGGAAGACTAGCATGTAGAAAGGGAACAAAAAAAATGTCAGCATGTATTACCAAATAAAACTAAGCCAATTATTGGAAGCTACAGTGAATCATATTTTGACTGACTAAAAAGAACAACTTTCTTACAATTCAAGCTGTTTAATAATAGAAAAGATTGATGCATAAAGCAATGAGGTCTTTGTCTATGGAAGAGTTCAAGTAAGGGATGGTTGACTATCTATAAGGGATGTTATAGAAGGAATTCCTGCATTCAAAGGGAGGTAGGGGTAGATGTTTTATGAAGCCCTTTCTAATTCTAAGATTCTGTTTATCAATTTATTTGTTAGAAGAAAAAAGTAATCATAACTAACATATCTACAAATCAAAAGATTACAATATGTAGAGCAGGAAGGGACATTAGGAGCCATATAGTTCAATCAGCCCATTCATTTTACAAATGAAGAAATGGAGACAAGAAAGATTAAATAAATGGCACAAGGTCACACAGATAGTGAAAATGAGATGAGGTTTGAATCCAGGTCCTCTGACTCTACAGTTGGTGATCTTTCCATTGGTTACTTATATAAAGTATTGCCTCCCTTCTGCTCTTTGTATGTAAGTAGTTTGGTTGTTGAAGAGAATCAAAAAGAACATTTATGTATGGAAGACTGATAAAACCAACTTGTAAAGAAACAGTATTGAGGAGATAGACTGCTGAAGTCCAAAAAATTGCCCCTCAGATGAATATACTAGAAGACCTTTTTGAAGTTAGAGTAACAACTGGCATAATGTTAGCTGCAGGGTATTGTGGTCCATCGGCTCCTTTGCATTTTCTAGTTTTAGAGTTTTAAGGTTTATAACTGTGAAGTCACAAGTGAAATTGCTTTTGAGGACTGTGGGAAGATGTTACAAGGACTGATGGGTTATAACTGAAAGTCTGTTTCTCGAGTTTTACTTGCTAAGGCAAAGATAAGTAACTGACCACCAGAAGGATCTGATTTGAGACATTGGAACATGTAAGGCAAGAGAAGACAGAAGAGAGAAAAGCTAGAGGAAAAGAAAGAAAGATGTAGGGGAAGAAACTGATGAGGTGAGGGAGTCAGAAAAAGCTGAAGGCAGAAGATATTGAAGGCTAATAGACAAGCATGTTGACTGGAAGAGGGGCCGGCACTGCTTTGATAACTGACTGCAGAAAGGGTACTTCAGCTGAGGGAGCATTTCAGCACCTGTGCTGACTGGAGGAGAGCTAAAGCCTGCTGATATATTTAGAGCTGTTTAGCTTATGGCTCTATAACACCATCTAACCTTAGAGATGGGAAACTTTAAAGAGTTACTGGCTCACCTCTACTTGACCTTTGTAGTTTCAGAAGGAGAAACAAAGAGAAGACAAATTTTGCATGTTTTACCATGAACTGTGCTTTCTGAAGAAGAGGTTTTGCTTTTCTGGAAGCTGATCGGAGAAAGTTGAATCCTTTTGAGTGAAGACTTGTCTGGGCATGTCTACCATGCCCAGAGAGTCAACCTGAGGAATTTTGCTGTTCTTTGGAATAAGGGAATTGCTTGTCACTGGATGAGTCCAATGTTGGTAATATTTCCCTCTTGCTCAAAGAATGTGTTACTTTCCCAGTGCCCTGTTAAGGATGGTTGTGAGTTAAAGGCTTTCATCAGCTTAAAGGAAGGTTGGGGCTCAGAGGAAGAGAAGGGGACAGTATGAGTACCATGTTGAGTACACTATAGGTATTCTGCCTGCATGAGTGTGTCTAAGGGCATTCCAGGGCTGCATGTTCCTTAAAATAAATTTTTACTGTAGACAGAGATATTACAAATTCCTTGAGAGCAAAACCTATATCTTCTGGCTCTCAGTGCCATTGTCTAGCAACTTTCTCAAGGCAGACATTGCTTTTTAAAGTTTGTTTATAGAATAAATGAAATTTCTGACCACCTACATATTTTCAATTTTAAGATAGTCTTTAGAAAACTCAATATATGTTTTCTAATCAATCAATCATTGATCATCTATTATGTATCAAGCACTGTGTTAGGGAGCTGATGATACAAAGATATGAATGAAGTAATTGTTGCCCTATGAGTACACACATAAACATAAGAAAATGCAATTATGTACAAGGCTTTGTAGGATTTTATTTTATTTTTTTTTGTAAATGTACTAACATGGGGAGGGAATCAAGAAAATTTTCTTTAGAAAATGACATTTGAGCTGCATCTGAAGGTGTCTAAGAAGAGAAAGTGAGGAGGGAGTACATTCCAGATATAGCAGACAGACTATTTGTAGACTGAGAGAAGATACAGGTTATTGTGTGTGAAGATCACCTAATAAGGCAGTTTGGCTGGAATACAGAGTGTATGAAGTACAGTAGGATATAACAAGGTCAAGTGGACCCAGATTGTAAAGTGGTGGTGTCAAACTCAAATAGAAATGGGGGTGACTAACCCATATAAAAGGATTCCTGTGGGCTACGTATTGGCTTAGAAAACTGCATTAACACTGTCTGTGTTCTTGTGTATTGTTATTTATTTTGTTAAATATTTCCCCATTACATTTTAATGTGGTTCACGAAGGGAGCAACCTGCAGCCACGTGTTTGACATCTGTACTGTAAGAGTTTAATGCCAAACAGAAGAGTTTGTATTTTATCCTAGTAGCAGAAGGAAGCCACTCATTTTTTTTTTGAACCATAGAGTGATATGATCCAGACCTGTGCTTTAGGAAATGCATAGATTCAATTTATACTTTTATGCATCTAGAAATGTCAATAAGTGTATGTGCTTCCATTTTCAGACATTCCCATTTATCTGAAAGTCATAATTTAGATATTATAAGGGAGTGAATGTCTTTAGCTTGTTTCCTAATGTGATTTTTTTTACATAGTCATTACTTTAAAGCTTTTCGTTGAATACATTCTCTGTTCTCTGAATGCCTTATAAGTAAGGAACTTCTAAAATTTTCCTCCCCCAATTATGAGGCTGATGGATACTACATGTCATTTGCAAGAAATTCATATAACTTCATCTGTGACATTTTTGACTTGTTATTTTTTGAAATGTATGAATGCCACAGTGTGACTGATTAATGAATTCAGAACATAATGGATGTCTTAAGAATACAGGGAACACACTAAGAAATCTGTATCTTTGGCAGCTCTTAAGGATTTGGCATCATTCACTTCATGCTGCACTGTCATCATTTTCAGGGACTGGTAAAACATTAGGAAAACCTCAGTTATTTAAACCACACTGAGGTTGTGCAGGCTAAAGTAATACGTCATTCCATGATAAAAATGACACACATCCTGACAGTACTGTTATCTTGTGCATAGGTGGGTGGGGAGGGGGGTTAAAGGAGAAGGAAGGGCTGATATGTGGAACTCTTAGGGAAATGGCAATGCTTTCAAAGTTAAAGTCACATTCTCCTCAGGTGGCATTCTGAAGGAATATAGTTCTAAATGTCAGCTCCCTGTAACTGGCTGAAATGGTTCTGAAAAATCAAGAAACTGAGTGGGAAAGCCAAATGAAGCCAGGACTCCAGATCCTTGGCTCATCCAAGAAGTTATTATTATTATTTTAAAACCTGTTTGTTTCAAGGACTTCTTGAGCACTTTCCTAGCTGATGCTAGGGAAAATTTTCCAGAGAACAGCATGGTTAGATTTCAATGTGCATCTTTTTAACTCCACTTTATGTTATCCTGCATATCAAATTTGGACTTCAGGGACCTGTGGATAATGTTAGAGATGGTTTTCTCCTTTGTTTGATGAAACGAAAGGCCATTTCGACAATTTATAAATTAACTAATTTATGCAGCTTATAATCTCTTATGTGAACAGTATTTTATATATGTACATATGGATGTTGATAAGTAATATATAAGGAGACAACATATTATAATGGATAGAAGGTGATTTTAGAGTCAAGAAGACCTGGGTTCTTGTCCTGCCTGTTTCTCCATGGCCATATCACGTAAATTCTCTCTGCTCTACTAAAGCAGGTGATGAAGCTGCTGATCTGTGTTTATGGAAGTTCTTTATAATCTGAGAATTCCTTATGTCAGTGGAACCACAGGTCTAATTTATGCATAGATTAGTTGTAAATATGTTATAATAGAATTTGCAGTAATTGTCTAATAATGCTATATTCTTGTCCATTTTCTTTTGTAGTTATGCCACTCTACCATGGATGTATCTTCTATCCCGAATCTTTTCCAGTTCTGATGTGGCTTTCATCTCTTACATCTCTTTAAACTTTATCTTTGGTCTTTGCACCATGTTAATGACAATAATGCCAAGATTACTTGCTGTGGTCTCCAAAGCACAGGTTAGTGAACCTACTTCTCCCGAAGGTTTGATAAGGTCAAATTAATTTCCAGAGTAAATATTAGTAGAATGGTGGCTCTGAAACCACATAATCCAGAAACATGCATTGAGTTTCCTTTTGGAAAGTAATGCTATTTTAAGAGAGGGGGCAGTTCAAACCTGAGCAATTTTCGTGGAGACATGCCTGATTCTAACTTAGATAAAGAGTAGGGGGAGGGTCAGGCTGGCATAAATATCCTTTGGAATATTCAGAAAACATATAGATAGGAGTAGAATCACCTTCAATGTAGACGCTCTAACAGCATGATGCATATGGGCAGTGCCTTCCCAAAGCACCAGGCATTTCAGGGGGCCAGAGTTTATACCTTTATAGGATTTTTTGAGATGGACTTAATTTTTCTCCATGCTCTTGTCAAGGGCTTTGTGGCATAGTTTTGGAAGGGATGCATTAAAATAAAATTCCTTTGTTAGTGGCCACCTAGGTGGCCAGCAGCTGGGGAATTTCCTCTGCTAGAGAATGAGCTTCATTCACTGCTCTAAGCCAACTCCCTTAATTGATTATCATGTGCAGACCTTTGGACCAGCTCACTCCATATTGATTCTCACCAGGGTTAGAGGGAAAGAAAGGCAACTAAGTAGGAAACACCAAAACAATATGCTGATGCTATAGCAATTTTATTTTCTTTGAGGCTGGGGCTCTGCATCTTTTCTTTTTGCTTTATTCGGCCTTCATTGTTCAATTCTTTCAAATCCTTTGGTTCTTTAGGGGATAATTTTGCATAAACATTATTGAGCCTGGAATTAGACAATCTGCGTTTGAGACTTGACTCCCTCCCCTACTCATGACCTAGGAAAACAATTCACATCTACTTTCTGGGCTTTAGTTTTTTCACCTGTAAAACAGGGTGTGGAGAGGTATTGGGCCTGAGATTTGATAGGAGTAGGGAACTCACAGCTGAGGAAGCACTCTCTACCAATATAAGTTATTACATTCTCTGCAACTTATAGTCTTAGAATTGTCTAGAGGCAGCTAGCTGGCACAGTGGATAAATAGGAGGCTGGACCTGTAGTTGAGGAGACCATAATTCAAATCCTGCCTCAAACATTTGGTGGCTATGTGACACTGGGCAAGTCACTAAACCTGTTTTAGCCTCAAGTTCCTCATCTGTAAAATGTAGGGGTGGAGGGAGTAATAATGACACCTTCCTCACAGGGCTTGTTGTGAGGATAAAAATGAACCTATTTGTAAAGCACTTTGTAAACCTTAAATCTCTCTATAAATGCCAGCTACCATCACCATCACCATTATTATTGTCATTGTTATCCATAGCAGTGGTGTAAATTTCAAATAGAAACAGAGGTCACTAATCCATACGTAAGGATTTCTGTGAGACACATATCAACAATTTTAATATGTAATGTTAATTCTGTTTTATTGTATTTTCATTTATTTAGTTGTTTCCCACTTACATTTTAATCTGGTTTAGGAGTGTTGCTTTCCTCAAAGTCTGAGGGCTGCAGGTTTGACACCTGTGGTCTGGAGCACTGAAAGTGAGAATTACTTTCCCAGGGTCTTGCAAAAAGTATATGTCAGAAACAAGGCCTGAACCCAAGCCACTGTGGCCAGCATTCTACCTCTTATTCTATGCTGCCTCTCTACCTGTAAAATGGAGTTAATATTTTTACTACTTGCTACATAGCCTTGCTGTGAGGCTCAACTGATATATGTGACATTATTTGTAAACAATTATTGTCAGTACTTAAATATAAACTATGATAAAAAGCTTCCACCAGGGGTTATGCAAAGTGAGGGAGATTGCTCAGTGACAAGAGAGGGAAGAGTAGTTAAAATTCTGAACAGACTTTCCATTCTCACAAGATAGAAAATGATAGATGAATTCAAGTGACTGGTGTTATACTTAAGGTACATTGTGAGTAACCTAGACTAGAATGAGCAGAACTGAGAATTTAGCCACCATTTATAGCACTGCTACTGTGGAAAATGTGTTCCAGGTAAGCCAACTTACAAATAGACAGTTTGAAAGACAACCTATTGCTGAGTTAAAGGCCTGTATATAAATCAAACAGTACCCTATGTGTATAATTTAGAGTTAGCACTGCCTTTTTATTCTTTGCTTTGTTGAGAGCCATAAGGTAGCAATGCCCCAGATAGTGACTCCTTTGAGCTTTCAACAGTTAGTATTAATCAGGAAAACCTTTCTTTTGGAACAAAACCTTCCTGTTATGATATTTTCTCTCTGGAGCCTCACCCTTTTCCTTTTGACTTCCTTCTGGAGTAAAGACATTACCTGACACTGCTAGGTTCCCTATTTTCTCATTGACCTTTCTGATTACATTTTTTTTAACATGAAAGCCCAGGGTTAGTCATTGTTTCAGCTGACTGAAAATTGCTACTTGGGTTAAAGCTCATGAATAGCTCAACCTGGAGATTTTTTGATACAGAACACCTTTTACCTTTTAGATACAAAATTGAACCTTTAAAATTAACAAAAGATACGTCTTCATGAATTCTACAATCTCTAAATATTTATAGCCTTTTGTCCATCTAGTTCTTTCCTTGTTAGAATGCCTTAAAATGTAGTAGTACTAGTAGTAGTAGTAATAGCTAACATTTCCTTAGGGTGGAAAGTTTCACTGATAAGAGACTCATTATTAGAAGTTGACTACTGGTTGATAGATATTTTTCACTCACAACTTATTTTAAAAAATTATCTGCTCAGGTATAACAGGGTAAAGATTTTCATCAGTGGAAGAAGTGTGCACTGATATGGTACACTGATATGTGCCCTAATGAAATCAGAGATTCTTGAGGCATTGAGCACAGACATATATACACAGAGGCATATTATAAAACAAGATACTTATATGATTATTCTCTAGGTAATATTTAGACAAGTCCCCAAAGGCTCAAAGTATACAACTTGGCAACAGTGCCAACTTAACACATAAAGTAGTTGACAGTTATAACAATTGACAGTGGCACTGAAATAATTTTTAAAATGGAACTAACAAGTCACTACCAATAATGAGTTTTTCACAATGAAATAAGGACTCCCTGATAAACCATGGTTGTACCCATTCTAATAACAATAGATCATGGCTAGTCTGATTCTTCCTTGAGTGTTTGTGGAAAAAAAATGCTATCTCAAACATCATATATCCCTATTCAGACTGATAACAAGCCACTGTAGCAGAGTAATAAATGTCCCTAGCTGTTTTCATTGATTTGTATAAGTATTATTAGTTTTGTTCTCCCAATAACAGTCATATTATTTTCATCTCCCTAATTTTAGTTACACATTTTGTATCCCACAAACAGGACGATTCATATGAAAACCCATAGTAACAAATATTTCCAGCATTTACAAAAATAGGAATGGTGTTTAGCTTCAATAGTATTGACAAGGTTTACTCTTTTGAACATGAACAAAGACTACTGTTTTAATCACTTCTCTCTAATTACACTCCCTGGATAATTGCAAGTCTACACCTTTGTATTTAAGTCCTGGCATATCCGGTGCAGTGAATCATATACACATACATATTATACCAACTTATTATTTCATAAAAGACACCTTTTTAAAAAATTTGGAGGTAACAATTAAAGAAAATCAAGGAAGAATGGGATGAAAAGATATGGATATCACTCTTACTCAGATTGTACAGTATTCCTATAGTTGTGAAAGATGCTTTCCTAAGAGCTTAAACGATATTATTTTTTTTTTTAGAACCACTTTTACCCTCCTTGTATTTCATTCACTCCAAATGTCACTGATGAAATTCTAGACTGGTTTTGCTGACTTATTTAACGTCTCCTTTTCTGATTCTTTAGTTTGCTTCCCTTATTCCTTCACACTCTAAGTGGAACATTCCCTGAGCCTCTGCTCTTAGCCTTCTTTTCCCTTCATATGCTTCCCTTTGGTGATCTCATCTTCTCTCAGAGTTCCAACTATTACCTCCATGCAAATGATTCCTGAGTCTCCAATCTTATACCTCATCTTGTTCAGCTATTCCCCAATTGATGGGCATCCCCTCAATTTCCAATCTTTTGTTACCACAAAAAAAGCTTCTATAAGTACTTTTGTACATCTAGGTCCTTCTCTCTCTCTCCCTACCTCTCTTTCTCCCTCTCCCTCTCTCTCTCCCTTCCTTCCTTCCTTTCATCTCCTTGGGATACAGACATAGTATTGCTATTGATGGGTGAAAGGGTATGGATAAATTCACAACTCCTTTGACAATGCATTAGAATCCCAATTTTTTTCATGTCCCACTTCAGACACTTATTAGCTGTGTGACCCTGGGCAAGTCACTTAACCTCATCCTTATTTGCCTTACTTTCCGCATCTGTAAAATGAGTTGGAGGAGGAAATGGCAAACCACTCTAGTATTTTTGCCAAGAAAACCCCAAAATGGGGTCAAGAAGAGTTGACCAGATTGGAAATGACTGACACAGTTATCTTAAATGTAATTTCTTTTTCTATCTCTTGCTGCTGGACTTGTTGGTAATATATAGGACTCCTGATGATTTATGTGAGTTTTTTTGTACATCTTGCAACTTTGCTAAAGTTATTAATTATTTCAACTGGTTTTAAAATTGATTCTCTAAGATTCTTCAAATATGCCACCATATCATCTGCAAAGAGTGATAGTTTTGCTTCTTCCTTGCCTATTCTAATTCCTTCCATTTCTTTTTCTTTTCTTATTGCTCTAGCTAGCATTTCTAGTACAATATTGAATAATAGTGGTGACAATGGGCATCCTTGCTTTACCTCAATCTCATCGGAAAGCCTTCTAGCTTATCCCTATTAGGGATAATATTTGCTGATGGTTTTAGATAGATACTAATTATCATTTTAAGTAAAGCTCCATTTATTCCTATGCTTTCTAGAGTTTTTTTTTAAATAGGAATGAGTGTTGCATTTTGTCAAAGCCTTTTGAGATAATCATGTGACTTTTGTGGTTTTTTGTTATTGATGTGGT